AACAAATAATACCTTGAAAAATTGACTCAATATTATCTCAGCAAATTTGATATATAACAGTTTCGATATCACACAATGAGATTAACTGAAAATGCATTATACACGTGACTTTGAACGTGTTAATTTGATAGTGATATAAAAAAATAAATAAAACCAAAAGTATACATGACTAAAAAATATATAAAAAAGAAAACAAAAAAAATTACAAATTTATAAATCAAAACATATAAATACTAAAATTGATATGACGTAAAACATTTAATATTCTCTTTAATTTTATTGGAATCAATGTGTTATAGTTTAAATGCAACAGAGATATCCTATGATTACGATGGAACCACGTAATAATATTCCCAAATCTACAATCCACTAATTTAAAAAATAATAAAAATGATGAAATCTATTATAATGATGTCTTATATTATACTTAGAAATATTTTATTCCTATAAATAATTGAAAACAAAGAAAAATAGACAAATTTTATATACAAAAACAAAAAAGCATCATTATCAGATTAATTAATTTAATTAGGATTTTAATTTATAGTGAATTTAAGAATATTCATTTTTATTTCAATGTTATAATTTTTTTTAGATTTTAATTTACATTTTGTCGAGTTTTATTTTATTTTTGACAAACAAAAAAAATCCATTCCACCTTTTATATATATTTATAACGATATAATATTCGTATTTATAATAGCTTATGTATGCAGTTTTCTTTAAAAATATTACAAAAACTCATACACTTTATCAGAAAAATTTTATTTTCTTTAATTTAATTTTCTATCTCAACTTTAGTGTATCAAATTATTATTCGATAAACCAATTGAAATTTTATTGAATTTTAATTTTTTTCATTTAGATAGAATATTTTAATTTTTATTAAATATTTAAATTATTATTATACCACCTATTAATTAGTTTAATTTACAATATCTAATCCACGTTCACGTAAGTTGAGGACAAAATGTGTCAGGTTGTTAATGTTGAACCTATTTAGAAATATTAATTAAAGTCAGTTAGGTTTATGTCGATCTTAATTAAAATAGTCGAACTATATAATATTTCTTTAAATATAAAATATGAAGATAAAATAACTTTCAGATGGAGAAAAAATTGAGAAATTTAAATTCTTACTTTTTAAATATATATATATATATATCTATATTTATTTATTTTAAGTAATTAAATTATTATTACTATTACTATTATAAATTTTAATTTATTTTAAAAATATATCTACACAACTTTTTTTTATAAAATATTTCAAAATAATTACACTATGCATGTTGATATTATTCTCAAATTTTGTAACCTTTAAAATTTGATATAACTAAAGTGAATTTACTCCAAGAGATGATGCATCTTAGAAAATAAATTACAATAATAACTTTATTATAAAATTAATCATAATGATTAGAAATAATTTTGGATTTATTAAATATATATTTAAGTTTATCATTTTGCACTTTTGACTTTGTCATCAACCGTTATTATTGCGCTTTCTATTTTAAAGAATATTTCCTTCAATTTAAAAAATATACCATTATTAAATACGTATCATAATTGAACTTATTTAAATAAAAATTTCAAATAATCAACCTTAAAACAACTATACATAATCTCTTTTAAAATAAATTTAAATTTTAGTTATTCGCTATTATGTTATGAAATAAATTTCATAAGCATATTTGAGTGTTTTTAGAACATTGGTTTCAGAATTAAAAGATTATTTTATTGAGATTAAAAAAAAATGTTTCCCTATAATTTTTCAATATTTTATTCTTGAAGTAACACCCTTCTCCATAACTAACATGAGAAGAGTATAATATAATGGTTGAAAAACAGTTGTAGATTTAAGGCATTAATTATTTGTTTGTGAAGAAAATTCTACTTGAGTTATCTAAACATACACATAAGTAAGACAGATATTATTGAAAAAATATCGTTGATTTCTTACAGAATACATTATTGTATGGTTGAGAACCACTTGCATTTTTAGCCATTAATTATTTCTCACTCAATTTTCTACGTTGCATATCTCAGACATTGACCATATCTCTTTGCATTTCCAGATTCCGAAGAACCCAATATTCTAGGGTCAACCAATTTCAGTTTTTCTTTAATTTAATTTAATAATAATAATAATAATAATAATAATAATAATAATAATTTTTCTAGTCTTCATGCGTAACCGACCTATATTGGTCTTATATATTTAAACGTATCAAAATAGTTTAATCATCAGAAATGTCAAGAAATAAGTTAGGTTAATAGAAATTGTATAAGATTTATTTTGTTCTGTTTCATATTTAGGCTATGATTAAATTAATATATAAATTTATGAACCTATTCATTTTATAAAAAAAATAATTATTTTTAAAATAATAATAAAAATAATACTATTTTATTAATAAATATATATGATTATAAATTAATTTGATAAATTATTCATTCACTAAAAAATAAATATAAGAGTGAGTTACAATCTAATAATTAAAATAAATCACAATTAATAAATTATTAAATAATAATAATAAAGAATTTTATTTTTGTTTTGAATTTTTATAATTTATATATTAAATTATTGTATTTAAAATAAAAAATATTTAATTATAATTTTAAAAGTATATTTTAAATTTTAAATTTTTATTTAATATTTTTAAATTAATTATTTTAACATAGACATATTAATATACTTTTTAAAATTTTTAAATATTAATATATTTTTAAAAAATTTTAAATTAAAATTAATGCATTAATCGATTAACTTTATATAAAATTAGACTAAACCAAAATTTATAATCTATTTTAAAATATAGGATAAACCCGATGAAACAGTTCATTTAAACAACCTATATATATTCTTCGTATCTAATAAAGATAAAACCAGAGTTTAAAAATATTAACTTCTGATAAAAAAAATTCACAATCTATGATAAGCTATAATTAAATTTTGTACACAAATGTTTTTGTTGTTGAAATATTTAAGATTATCAATTACGTAAAATAAATAAACATTTATTTTTAAGTAATGTTCAAATGAAATTTTAAAATTTTGGATATTACTTATGATAAATTTGAATTGGCGGAGCTGGCCATGTAAACTAGGCGTAACTAGAATCACCAAATAAAGGTGTCAGGTGTAATTGAGTTGGTCTCAAGTTAGAATAACAATTATTTTGTATTAATATTATTTTTTTACCTTCAAACTTAAAAATAAATAAATAAATTTTCTCCCAAACTTTTGTCATTAATAACTCTGTATTTGTGATAATACTAAGACCTTTAATATCTAAAATCAATACTCTTTTCATCTTTTATATATATATATATATATATATATATATATATATATATATATATATATATATATATATATATATATATATATAAAAGCCTCTCATTTAGTTAACTCCTAATAATAGTTTTAATTTATTTTAATATCGTTTTAGTATTATATTATATATTAAATTCATGTTTTGTTTAGAAACTTCATTATAAAATAAACTTGTGAAAAGTTATCATAAATCTTATAGACATTAAAAATATATTGTGTCATATAGACGATAATTTGAGTCTATATTAGTCCATGCAGAGAGTTTTAATATGATTAATTAGGTCTTCAAACAGACTATTAAAACACGTTAAACTATAGATTAAATAATCCTATAACTTTTTTTTTTTCGCAAATAAAGCCCATAACATGAATGATGAGCTTAAAATTTTCAAATTATTCGGGTCTTTTTAGGTAAAATATTGGTATAACTAATACACTTTTACCTCTATTTACAAATATAAATTCATTTCTTCCTCTTTGAACCTTACAGAGATCTTACATATGCAACTAGAATAGACTTTGATTTCAATGAAAATTAATTTCATGTTAGAATTTTATTGAAAATGTTTTATTTTATTCTGAATCTTATATATAAGTTACTTAAAAATAAATAAAATGATTTTACATTTAAAAAAAATATTATACAAATATTTTTCGCTAATTTTAAATAATTTATGTCTAAGGTTTCTTAATAAATAAAAAATTATTTATAAGCAATTATTGTAATTATTAACATGCCTAAGGCAAATAATACCTTCATAGAATTTCTGCCTAACAAAAAACTCTATGATATTTTCTCCTAATTCTAAAAGTAAATTTATTTACTATTTTTAAAAATTCCAATCGCAAATTTTTATTCGTAAATGAATTTTTAAAAATACACCAAATAAGTAAAATAAATAATTATCGTTGTCAATCATTTTCCTTTTACATATTGTACAACCATTTCAATTTTCATGGACGAATATACAAAGACGGGTTAATTTTTTTAACCACGACGAGGTCAAATATTTTTTTAAATGCATGAAGAAAAGAAAAAGATAAAAACATAATTAATGTATATATATATATATATATATATATATATATATATATATATATATGTGTGTGTGTGTGTGTGTGTGTATGTGTGTGTGTGATAAGAAAGGATTCATAATATCCCCAGAACTGTGGCTATACAGATCAGGATTCATAATATCCCCAGAATTGTGGCTACAGATCAGAAATTACAGCTTACAAAATCAGAACAGATTCTGCATTCAAAGCTACCAAGTTGCATGTTTTCTAGTGACTGATTGCAATATCTTTCCAATATAAAAGATAAAATATATATACATATATATATATATATATATATATATATATATATATATATATATATATATATATATATATATATATATATATATATATATATATATATATATATATATAAATTAAAAGAATGGAAGAGTAATAGATTTTCTCATGTTATAAAATAGAAGACGGAGATTGCCTTAAATAATGTTGGAAAGAAAATGTAACGGTTAACTATGGCTTATATATTAAATATCTCACACACACACTATATATATATTGACTCTAATTTCCACCAATATGCAACTTGTGCTTTTGCTAGCTATTTTGTAACAGCAGCAAGTGCTTTGTTTCCACAAAAATGGCGATAAGTGCAGGTTCCATGGGTGTTCATGGATTGGGAGACATGAAGATTCTCGCTATCCAAGTCATCACCGGAAGATGGTTCGTCGTCTTTGCCTCCTTTCTAATCATGGCTGCCGCTGGAGCCACGTACATGTTCGCCCTTTACTCCAGCGACATCAAAGCCACTCTTGGCTACGACCAAACCACTCTCAATCTCCTCAGTTTCTTCAAGGACTTGGGCACCAACGTTGGAGTCCTCTCAGGCCTTATCAACGAGCTCACTCCACCCTGGGTGGTGCTAGCCATCGGTGCTGTCCTAAACTTCTTTGGTTACTTCATGATATGGCTCTCAGTCACCCAAAAAATAGCCAAACCCCAAGTATGGCAGATGTGTCTCTACATATGCATAGGTGCTAACTCTCAGTCGTTCGCCAACACTGGTTCCCTGGTCACGTGTGTCAAGAACTTTCCAGAAAGTCGTGGGGTTGTGTTGGGCATCCTCAAAGGCTACCTGGGTCTTAGTGGTGCAATCATCACACAACTCTACTCTGCTATTTACTATGACGACACAAAGGCTTTGATTTTGTTCATAGGTTGGCTCCCAGCTGCTACTTCCTTAGTTTTCCTTCGAACCGTTCGCTACATGAAGCCGGTTAGGCAGTCTAATGAGCTCAAGGTTTTCTACAACTTTCTGTATATTTCTCTTGGCCTTGCTGGGTTTCTTTTGGTCATGATTATTATACAGAAAAGGGTCAACTTCACTCAGAGTGAGGACGGTGTGACCGCTGCTATTGTGCTCTTCTTGCTCTTCCTCCCACTTGCTATTGTTTCCATCGAAGAGTATAAGATCTGGCAGAGTAAAAGACTTGCTTTGGTTGATCCTTCCCCGGTGAAAATAGTAACCGAGAGTGAAAGGGTTAAACCGAAAGAGTCTGCTAATGGTAGCAATTCAGTCTCAGCAGTTTCCAACGACACCAAGTGGTGGGAAAATGTGTTTAGTCCACCAGAAAGAGGTGAGGACTATACAATACTTCAAGCACTATTCAGCATTGACATGTTTATCCTATTCATATGTAGCATCTGTGGTATTGGGGGCACGTTGACCGCAATAGATAACCTGGGTCAGATAGGAAATTCGCTTAGATACCCCAAGAAGAGCATAAGCACTTTCGTGTCCCTAGTAAGCATTTGGAATTATCTAGGACGAGTTTTCTCTGGATTTGTTTCTGAACACTTTCTACACAAGTACAAGTTCCCTCGTCCTCTTATGCTTACTTTAACCATGCTCCTATCATGCGTTGGACACCTTCTGATAGCATTCGATGTGCCAAGTGGTCTTTATGCGGCTTCGGTAATCATAGGGTTTTGTTTTGGAGCTCAGTGGCCTTTACTTTTTGCCATTATATCTGAGCTTTTTGGACTAAAATATTATGCAACTTTGTACAATTTTGGAAGTGCAGCAAGTCCACTAGGGCTATATGTGCTTAATGTGGTAATGACTGGGCATTTGTATGACAAAGAAGCAAAGAAGCAACTCGCAGCGTTGGGGCTTCAAAGAAAGGAAGGACAGGAATTGAATTGCATAGGAGTCCATTGCTTCAAGTTATCCTTCATTATTATCACAGCTGCAACTTTCTTTGGTGCCATTGTTTCACTGATTCTGGTGGCTAGGACAAGAATGTTTTACAAAGGTGACATATACAAGAGATTCCGCGATGCAGCCACGATAGAAGCTGAACTGACAGTGGTAGAGGACGAAAACAAGGCAGAGAAAGATGTCAAACATGTGGTGCCAACTCATGATCACGAACAGCACCAGGACTAAAGGTAATGAATGATGTTGCCATTCATCAAAGTCCAAGCGAGAAACTAGTTAATTAATAACATGGTCACGCATGTTAGACAATGTAATATGTAAGATTATAGTTTGCTACATTTTCTTTTGCCGGGATGTATACGTGTGTCCTTTTTTGCATTTATTCAAGAACAAGAAAAACTAAAAAAAGAAAACATGACTGCCATGTTATTCCATTGTTAATGTAGTTTATTGCAAGTTTGCCGATTTATTTATGATCACATGCAATGCAAGTTACCGGTTCCGTGGGTAATGCCTATCATCACTAAATGTTTATATATTATGTATGTTAAGGCTGCAGGGCACCTACATATATACGTTTCTTAATCATATCATTGATTGGGTCAGAAAACTAGAATCGGATAATTGTAAATGGAATTTGACCAACTGGTACCACACCTATTAATAATCTTGCTCAAATTTAATTTCAACTGTAATGTAATAAAGAATTAGGGATATATAATTTAATCTTATATACTATAAAAGGGTAATAACAAGGGAAATAGATTTTTTGAAGTTGTTCATTTTTTGAAAATAATTAATTCTGGTCAACGGGTTGGAAAAAGGCAACCAATTTGTTAAACATTCTTTATTTACAATTAAATCAGACAAATTAACTTGCTTATTTAAATAATTATAAATGTTGTACTATTTTATTATTAAATTATTATAACGTTTATAAGAGTAAATTAAATTCATTTTCCATTTTTTCTTGGATTTCATATTATATTTCTTCCTTTTGAGAACCTAAAAGAGTAAATCATTATAACGTTTAAAGCAGTAAATTAAATCCATTTTCATTTTTTTCTTGGATTTCATATAATATTTCTTCCTTTTCAGAACCTAAAAAAAAAACTTTATTGTTTTTAAAACATTATAATATCTCTTATATATTACGTTAGCTCTTCTTGATGTTATCCAGGGTTGTTGTTATAAACTTTAAAAAAGAGGAACTATGTTCAATCCAAAAAAAAAACTATGAAAAATAATTTGAATTAGCTAACATCTTTTTAAGTAAGAAATATCAAGATTTTAACAACTTTTTTAAAGTCGTTTTAAAAAATTAAACTATATTTAGTCTTAATAAATTTATTGTTAGATAAAAATAAAGTATTGAATCCATTCATATAAATAATAAAGTTGAAATAAAATGTGTATTTTAAGCTAAAATTAAACATGCCAAAAGATTGCAAAAACTCATTTTTATGGTTTAGTCCTTCATATATATTATTTCTCGCACTTTTCTTGTTTTGTTTTTATTCAGTTACTTCTCTTATCAGAAACGGAAAGTTTATGATGTGAAATTGACAAGTTGTCAACATTTCACATTGGTGTCCACACAAAAAATAAAATAAAAAATATTGAAATTATTTGCATGTTTGGATATATACCAAACTATCAAAGCCATATGGTTCACAGAAATTGATGTTAACGGCGGGAATAAAACAGACAAAATATGCAGACAAAAATTAGTAAATGCTCAATTTAATGATTTGTTGTATTCGTTGCCATATAAATTTCATTTCTCAAATTAAAATCTTTGGTACATTTTTCAAAAACTAATTATGTTTCTGAAATTAGTTGATTTTTTATTTTAATTCTTAAACATATTATTTTTACTTAAGATGTCCAGTTAGAGATCGAAATAAAAAATAATGATTTGAAATAAAAAATACTAAAATCTCAATAAATTATTAATATTTAGTTTAATAATTAAAAATATAATAATTTAATAATGAGATATAATCGAAGTACTGAATTAACCATTTTTGTCCATTGATGAAATTTCGTACTGATGTATTAGGATGACAAAAAGCCCATTTGACCAATTTTTGTTGCTACGTTCAGGCCTGTAAGTGGATTTAACATCATTTGTTCATGTTTCAGTTCTTAACCCATTTTTAATTATCCCTCTTTTTATTTTATTATTACATCACACTTTATATTTGTTGGATTTAACATCATTTGTTCATGTTTCAGTTCTTAACCCATTTTTAATTATCCCTCTTTTTATTTTATTATTACATCACACTTTATATTTGTTAATCTTATCCTCTCTCTCTTTTTATTCAGCTTCAAATTTTCATAATTTTTTTTAATATCTTATAATTTTCTATCTATAATTTTTTAATATAGTTAGTTTTGACTTTAACTTTTTTTATCTTTAACATAAATTATTAATAATGTGTATAAATAAAAAGTAATTTTCATAAACTTAAAATTTAAGTTCATATATTCAAAAACAGTCACTTTTTCAAAATTTAACTATAATTTTTATATGTTCTAGATTATTTAATTCGTTCTAAATTTAATATACACTTTTTTTCAATGTACAAATTAAAACACTAGTATATATATATATATATATATATATATATATATATATATATATGCTTATTTATTTCAAAATTTAATTGTATTATAATATATTTAAAAGTATACTATTTTAGAACAAAAATACTTAGACATACATAACATTCAAAAGTCAAATATGAACCAGTAACCATTTGTGCATCTCTACTGTCACAAAAGCATTTAAGGGTCAAGTGTATTTTATATGTGTATTTAAGCCTTTTATATCATTTTATAAAATTCAAGATCATTCAAACATTTTTGTATAAAATTAAAAGTTTACCTACATTTGAAACAAATGAAACAATCAAATGTTAATTATTTTTACATGTGATTTTATTAAAATGATTTAATTTGAGGGGAATTTCTAAAACAGAGGAGTCTTTTGATAAAAGTTAATATTTTTTAAAACTATTATTAATTCACCAACTTCGTGGCTTAATAAGATTTAATCTACCCCAATGTAGGTCAAAATTTTGATGAAATATTAAAGGAAAAAGATCTTTGACTAGTGTATATATTTAATTCATATTATGCACCGAAAAGAATAAATACTGTTCGCGTTAATATTAACCCTGGCGTTAGCATTAAGCTGGTCTTAGGGGTTTTCATAGAGTTGTTTCAGAACATTAATAAGAGGTAAAAGGAATAACATTAAAAAAAAAAACATTTATGTCATGGTCATGTAACCAAAATTAAAATATACTAAACTAGAAAACTAAAAATCGAATTTAGTAAAATTGAATAAATAAAATACCAAAAATAGAATAATTATAAAATTTTGAAACCAGTGGAGTGGATCCCAGTATTCCTGTACACTTGCAGTGTGTGTAAAGTCCAAGTGATGGAAAAGTTATTAGTCCACCGTTGACTTACGTGTCGTTATGTGGAGTACCTCTTAGGACCGCTGTTTCCATTTCCATTGCACTTTTTACATTTTTGTTTATAAACTTTTGTTTTTTATGCATACAAGAGTAATAAAAGATTTACAATACACAAGATAAGTAACATGATAAAATATTAAAAAAGCATAAAAAATTGCAAAAATATACATTTTCTCTATTGTTCCAAGTCCAATGAACCATTTAAACGAGGCAAACGATAATTCTTTCAATCATTAAAAATGTATATCTTGTTATATTAATAAAAAATAGAAAATAGTTTGAATAAATTTATGGTATACATTATATACTCTTTTTTGTAGTTTGGATTTTTATTAATTTGATAAAATAGGTTAATTAAACTTCACACAACTTTTTTAAACCTAAACAGATGCAAGTTGGAGAGTACTTTTTTCCTATGGCAATTCAGCATGTGCCATCCTTAGATTTTCAGTGGTAGGTCTTATCATGTATCATCTCTCTCTTCTCTTATTGTACAAACACGCTGTGGGAACCCCTCCCCATAACGCCATCTATATATGTGTATGTATGTACTCACGCACACATCTTCAAAGTTAAAATAAAACATCTCAAACTCCGTCGCCGACAAACATGGCGGTCGCCGTCGGAGATGTCAACACCAATGGTTTCCTCGTCCAGGTTATCACTGGACGGTGGTTCGTGGTGTTCGCCTCCTTCCTTATCATGGCCGCAGCCGGCGCCACCTACATGTTTAGCCTCTACTCCAGCGACATCAAATACACCCTGGCCTACGACCAAACCACCCTCAACCTCCTCAGTTTCTTCAAAGACCTCGGAGGCAATGTCGGCGTCCTCTCCGGCCTCATCAACGAGATCACTCCCCCGTGGGTGGTCCTCGCCATGGGTTCCCTCCTCAACTTCTTCGGCTACTTCATGATATGGCTCGCGGTCACCAAAAGAATACCCAAACCGCAGGTGTGGCACATGTGCCTCTACATCTGCATCGGCGCCAACTCTCAGTCCTTCGCCAACACCGGCTCCCTCGTCACGTGCGTCAAGAACTTCCCCGAGAGCCGTGGCGTCGTGTTGGGTATCCTCAAAGGCTACGTGGGTCTCAGTGGAGCCATCATCACGCAACTCTACTATGCCTTCTACTACGACGATTCCAGGTCCTTGATTTTGCTCATAGCCTGGCTCCCAGCTGCTATCTCCTTCGCTTTCCTTCGAACCATTCGCTACATGAAGCCCGTTCGACAACCCAACGAGCTTAGTGTGTTCTACAAGTTCTTGTATATCTCACTTGGCCTAGCTGGATTTCTCTTGCTCATGATCATAGTTCAGAAAAAAGTGTCTTTCTCGCAAAGTGAGTATGGCGTAAGTGCTGGGGTTGTGCTTCTTTTACTCTTCCTCCCTCTTGCAGTTGTTTTTGTTGAACAATACAAAATCAGAGAGACTCAGAAGCTAGCATTCATTGACCCCTCCCCGGTGAGGATAGCAGCTGAAAGAGAGTTACAGTCAGCAAATGGTAACTCTAACTCGGGTTTGGGTCCAGTTTCAAATATTGAAGAGACTAGATGGTGGCAAAAAGTGTTTAGTCCACCGCCCAGAGGTGAGGACTATACTATACTTCAAGCACTGTTCAGCTGGGACATGATACTTGTATTCGTCGCTGGCACGTGTGGTGTTGGGGGCACGTTGACTGCAATTGATAATCTTGGTCAGATTGGATCCTCGCTAGGGTACTCCAAGGCTAGCATAAGCACATTTGTGTCGTTGGTTAGCATTTGGAATTACATGGGACGTGTTTTTTCTGGGTTTGTGTCTGAACATTTTCTGCAAAAGTACAAGTTCCCTCGACCACTCATGCTCACGCTAACCCTGCTCTTATCCTGCGTCGGTCATCTTCTGATAGCGTTCAACGTGCCCAACGGACTCTACGTGGCATCGGTGATCATCGGGTTCTGCTTTGGCGCGCAATGGCCCCTGGTCTTCGCCATAATTTCGGAGCTGTTCGGGCTCAAGTACTATTCAACTTTGTACAACTTCGGCGGTGCAGCGAGCCCAATCGGGCTTTACCTGCTGAACGTGAGGGTCACCGGCCACTTGTACGACAAAGAGGCTCTGAAGCAATTGGCTGTGGCGGGTATCCCAAGAAACGGTAGCCAGGAATTGACTTGTACTGGGACCAGTTGTTTCAAGCTGTCTTTCATAATTATCACTCTGGCCACCATTTTTGGAGCCATAATTTCACTCATTTTGGTGGCTAGGACTATTCAGTTTTACAAAGGTGATATATACAAGAGGTACCGTGATCAGGTTTTGGAAACCACATCCACCACCGCCACCACCACCACCGTCGAGATGAAGGTGGTCCAAAACGGCGGCGAGAGAGGACAAGAAGCCACAGACCTAGTAGGGTAAGGTTTAGAGTTGGAAGAATATTGGAGAACATATTCACACGTCACTGTCTCAGTTAGATACTGATCCATCTCGACATCGATGGCAACCAAATAAAAGTCAAGTTTATTTTTTGTGATTGACAACACAAGTAGTAAAGGATCAATCTAGTTCGGTTTGGACCACCTTTTTTTTTTTTTTTCTTCTTCCCCGTCTTTCACTGAGAAATTTGTGGGCTTCAAAATTAAAATATAATCAAAGTTGGCTGTACATAAATACATACAGCTACCACTTTCTTGAATGAAATACAGTACTATTTTTCTGCTACTTGTACCTCCTTCTTTTTTTTTTTCACTTTTGCATGGCAGAGTCACGCAGTCAGATAGACTCTCGTGAAATATCAGCAAGTGTTACTGGTTAAATTTTAATCGTTAAATTTAAGCTTCCTTCTATAAATTGTTCTAGGTCATATGTGAGGAGAGATTTGGGTAAATATATCTTGTTTGGATTTGTAAATTTGAATAGATTTGCAGTCATTTATGTGTGGATGTCATGATTTTATGGAAAAAATGTGTTGATTTGCATGAAGGTGGAGTAAGTTATCCAAAAGAACTCCATGCACGAATGCATAATGAGCAATATAAAACCACAACTGGAAGAAAAAATTAAGTTTTTAATTGAATGAAAAATAATCAACTCGTCACCAATATTTATTTTAAGGAAACATATTAAAAAAAAAAGGAAAATGGTTTACGAAATAAAGATTTAGTTCAAGAATCGATTATATATAAAAAATGTATTAACACCTTACAACATCAGTTCTAAAAATTGTTATCTTTAATTAAATATAAAAAATTTAAATATCTTAAAATTATCTATTTTATCCCTCAAATTTATATATGGATTAAATGTTGCTACTAAATAAAAAATTATATATTTTTAGCTTGACAGATATCATCTCCTTGCTCCTACGTATCCAGGTACAATGGAGAATCAGAGTAACGTAGTTTTTTCTTATAAATATTTGTAAATAATTTATCTTAATTTGTCTATTTGTGTTGTTAAATTAAACATATATTTGAAATTATTTTAAAGTTGGATAATTATGAATAATCAAATTAGAAGTATATTTAAAGTGATTATCATTTTTATGAATAATAATTAAATTAAAAGTGCATGCAAAGTAATTTCAAATGTTTAAATTATTGTATTTTATAATTTCTATTTGGATATATATATATATATATTAAATATTTTATTATAATCAAATCAAAAGTACATTTGAACTGATTATTATGATTTTATGGTAATCAAATTAGATGTGTATCCAAAATGACTAAACTTTTATGAAATAGTTTCTTACTACTCCAACAAAAAAAATATTGCATTTTTAATAACCTCAAGAAAGGAAAATGATAATTATTGATATTTAATTGTTAATATACTAAAAATGATGTAATAATTTAAATTGTTAAAAAAATATAATCATTTTTATTTAAATTTTGGATAATGATAAATAAGTTTTTTTGTTCATTATTATTTATAATTTGTTTTTTTATTGTCTAATTTAACAAAATAAAATAAAAGAAAGAAAAAAACATTAATCTCAATTCTTTTATAATTGTTTTATTATCTGTAGCTTATTTTTACTATTTTTCACTTCCAAACCCAAACTATTATTTTTTATTCGGCTCAAAATCTCCTACCAATTTGTTGGGCCTAAAATTGACTTATTTTGTTGATTTTTATTATTCCTACCTCCAGACAGATTTGGGTCGAAATTCTCTTCAGCCCAAACTTATCTTTTACCCTTAACTTTAACCTAATCTAAAAAAGGGGAGCCACACATATTTGTGATTGGGCGGTGGCTGGCGAGAACGACATGAGGTAGCAATTTGGGGAGGGTGAGGTCGCGGAGCCTAAGGCGACTCCGCTGTGGTCTGAGGCAAGGGATTCACAATGGCAAAGATGGAGACGCTGGGGTCTATTGGGACTGCAAGGGTTTTTTGAGATGTCGTCCAGAGTGAAGGCTTGCGGAGGTGTGGTGGCCATGGTGATGGCAGTGGCTGCAAGTGGTCGCGGCGCAGTGGGGTTCGTTGGGATGCCTGTAATGGTGGTTACGATAGTGGTTTCGCAGTGACTCAGATAGATATTGAAGGTGGTAATGCGAGGTTTGGCTGGGAGAGCCACGGTGATGGCCAAAGGAGGCAGTGATGAACAGCGGATGGGTGAACGTTTGCAAAGAGACTAGGGTTGCGAGTGAGTGGCTAAGGTGAGGTCGTGATGACTACTGACGCTGATAATGGTAAATTAAAATTTTTATGTATTTATAATAATTTTTAATATATGCAATACAAATTCTTCTGCTACAAATATTACTTACAAATTAAATTATGAACAATGAATTTAGGAACATTAATTACTCTATTGGTGTTGATTGCTCTATTGATTTAGTTATTGTTTTGAGTTTTTTCTTTTACTTTTTTTTTTTTTCTTTTTTCTCCCCTGCGTGATGATGGTGGGTTTCTATATACACAGGTGTTTGTTTAAGGTGGGTTGTTTAGGGTGGGTTGTAGGGAGGCTGGAGGCTGTAGGGAGGTGGCTGGGAGGCTGTTGGGTGGTGACTATTTTTTTATTTATTTATTATTTTTTTATATTATCTTTTTGGTGTTTACAGATGCCCCTCTTTAATTAAGTTTTATTGGATAATTTGAATGTGAATTTATATTATCATAATAAAACATAATTAAAGATGTGAACACCAAAATACTGCAAATAAACATAACTAAAGATGTGAATACTAAAATACTGCTAATAAAATTGTGATTTGAAAAGTTGAAAACTTGAGAATGGACTCAGGATCCAATATTGCAATTGAAATATGCAAATATAAATAAAATTGTGATTTGAAAAGTTTAAAACTTGGAAGTGGACTCATGGATCCAATATTGTGATTTGACAAAGTTGAAAACTTAGAAGTGGACTCGGGGATCCAATATTGTGACTGAAATATGGAAATATAAAATTTGATTTGAAAAAGTTGAAAACTTAGAAGTGAACTCAGGAATCTAATATTATGACTGAAATATGGTGATTGAAAATTTAGAAGTGGGTTCGGAGACCTAAGGCTCAGGGACCAAATACAAAGCTATGATTTGAGGTGTTGAAAGCTTGGAAAGTAATGTATATAATTTAAACCTTATAAGAGCCATGAGAAACCTTGTAAGGGACATGAGAAACTAACATGAATATTTCTGCACTCTTCAGCTATTGGCACAAGTTTGATTACTTTGGGCACAAAGACCCAATATTAAAACTTACTTTGGGTACAGAGACCCGGTATTAAAACTCTCTAAATAGATGTATATTGGATAGAACAAAGGTTAAATAATTATTTATTTTTAACTTAAACAAGTAATGCATGATTCTTAATTCACAAATAATGTGCATGACATGTGATTTACAAATAAAGTATGATATGTATGGTGTATGATATGCAAATTCATGATGGGTGTATGATGCATGTACTTTTGATGCATGTACTTTTGACTAATGATTTTTGTTTTATTATTATTATCATTATTATTTTATATTATTTATATTTATTTTTTTTTCTTTCCACATTTTCTTACGTCTTGACCCCTTAAGATTTTGCGTGTATCAAGATTCATGGAGGGAAGCAGTCTTTGTATTTTCGTTCTAAGGCATGTTGAATTCATCTTTTTCAATTGGATCAGGGTTATGCTTTGTTATTTAAGATTTCGAATTGTCAACCGCTGGTCATTCTTGCCCTCATTACTTCACATTTTTTTTAATCATCACATTTTTATTATAATGCATTATTAACATTATGACATGTTCCTTTATTAGTATATTCACGACGAAATGACACAAAGAGATGATGGTTGAGACAATTTATTTTTATTGTTAGGAATGGAAAGATCGCATACAGGTACAAGGAATACAAACATAATTGACAATTTGAGGGTTTTTGGGTAACAATGTTAATCCTCATGTGTTACAATTTTGAAGAGTTCACCCATCAACATTTGCAAACATACGACAATTTGTGGTTTCATCCCTTGAGTAGCTTTGTGTATATCAATCTTTTAACGTGCCCCCTCATTTTGAACTTTCACCATTGTAGGTTACTCTGACTTTTATATAGACCAGTCAAGTAATTCCATATACCCTTATCTTGCCTAAGCTGCTTTCGAGTTTTCAGCTTATCGGGTTGCTCAATTTTGGTTATACCGCTTTTCATATTTTCAGCCTAACGAACTATTTTTTCTTTCTCTCTCCTTTTTTTATGCATAGTAATTCTTAACTGCATCAGAATTAATTGGGAGTGATAAATCTTTACCATCCATGTTTGAAAGGACAAGGGCACCCCCCGAAAAAGCTTTCTTTACCACATATGGTCCTTCATAATTCGACGTCTACTTTCCTCTTTGATCCTTTTGAGTTGGTAGGATATTCTTGAGGACCAAATCTCCTTCATGAAATTGTTGAGGACGGACTTTTTTATCATATGATCTTTTCAACATTTTTTTATATAACAGTCCATGACATAGGACGATCAACCTTTTTTCTTCAATAAGATTCAATTGGTCGATATGATTCTAGATCCATTCTGTAACATCATTTTTTTTTCTTCTAATTTATTTAATTTCTCAAAAATGGAAATATTTTTTTTTTCAATATTATGTCTTTATGACAATGAACTTTAAAAATAGTCATGCGTGAATAAATATATATAATTAAGGTGTCGAACATGTTCATACATAACATTCATAATCATAATACATTGTTTTTCAAAATAACTAATCCAACAAGGATCATACTATAATTACATAAAGTTTGTACCCTTAAATGATTAGAACTTAATTTTAAATTTATACATCTCAAAATAAAGCAAATCCTAATCAGAGCAGGTACCCAAAATTCCTAACTTTCTTATACAAGATCATGCCCCTCTCGGAAGGCAGCATTCTTCCATGCATATGTATATGATACTAAATCAA